GACGACTATATCATATAGCTGCCATAGGATCGATCGGTGGAAAATTAAGTTGTTGTATGGAAAACTTTTTGTTTTTCAAGATATCTTAACCATACTCGGCGTTAACTGCTTTTCCTGTGCTTCTTAGATACGGGCAAACCACTATGAACATTATGAAAAGATAAGGTCTGCAAGGGTATTAAATCTTCGACGTGCCGAAGATAGCCCTTTTTTCTCGTTAAATATAAATAAAGTGTTGATTTAAAAATTCGGAATATCAAGAATCAGAGACTGGCTACCCGGTACAAATGCGCCATCATCAGTTACAAAGTACCTCAATTTACCAATTTATTTGTGAGCAACAACAAATTGTATATATATGTACATTTAAAATTGATGCTGAATTTGAACCAGCGACCTGCTTAGACCTGCACTCAAACCTAAGACACGCAGGCTCACGACCATGAGCGTGCAATTGAATTGGGGATCAACTTCTAAGCTACTAATTGAAATGTTTAAATTTGTTTTAGCTCGTCTGCAAGAATTTTAAGCTTTCGTAGTAAAAATCTCTTGGACTCGAAAGAAAATATTAATCAATTATTCTTTTTGGTTTACAGTTTGGAATTTTTTGCTCCGATAAATGGAAACTTTCGATGGTGGGCACAGTGAACAACATTGGCCAGTTCGTGGGCATACCCTTAGGAGGTTACTTAGCGGATCGGTGAGTCATTATAGCTACATCATAAAACCGTCTCAAATTCTACTCTTTCATTTGCAGTTATGGACGCAAGGCAATGCTCGTTGTGACGGGCGTTCTGAGCGCTCTGGCAGGACTCGCACGTTCCCAGGCGCCCGAGTATTACAGCTTTTTGTTCTTTGAGTTTCTGGATATGGCCGTGGGCAGCACACTATTTCCCACTGCCTTTCTGCTGGCCATCGAGCTGGTCGGGCCCAAGCAACGCGTTGTGGCCACCATGATCATCAGTTTGACCTACGGCCTGGCAGAGGCGGCAATGGGCTATATGGCCAGCTTAATTCTTGATTGGCGTGTGCTGCTCCGCGTGCTCTACACGCCGGCCCTGCTGCATCTGCTCTTCATCTGCTATATACCCGAGAGCGTACGCTGGCTGCTGAGCCAATCTCGCGAAATGGAGGCCGTTCAGATACTGCGCAAGGTGGCTCGTGTTAACAAACGGGCATTGCCCGAAACGCAGCTCAGTGAAATGGTCCTTATGAATCGCCAGTTGTTGGCCGAATCCGAGACATCTGGCGGTCACTATACAGTCCATCAAATTTTCAGTGCACTCGGCCTGCGCATTGCTCAGTGCTGCTTTCTATGGTTCAGCAACACGTTTATAGCCCTGGGTCTAAGCCTGAATGCAACCGAATTAAATGGCAACAAGTTTGATAACTTTAGCATGACGGGATTAATGCAACTGCCGGGCATTCTGGTTGCCACCCTGCTGATGCATCACATTGGCAGGCGCTGGGCGCTGAGTCTCTCTCTGAGCACTTGTTCTTTTCTACTAATTGTGATGGCACTTCTGGACAACGGTGAGTACCAGTCGGCATAGTTGTGAATTTTCTACAATGTATTTACTTGTCAAGACTGCAAGCCAATTTATTTGTTAACATATTCCCATCTTTCATTCAAACGTGTTGTCAAAAAAAGAGTTCAACCGCAACGCGAATTAAAACATATTATTTTACAAAATGTTTTGGTCCCCAAACTTGGGCCCCAACAATTGGATCGCTCCAGAGTATATGCCATTTTTAGGCAGAGATTAAATTTAGCCCGCAATTTCTCTATGAAAATATGATTGACTTGCAATATTTTTTGTAAAACGGACAATTTAAATTACAAATTCAATTGTTTCAAGGCAAACATTCGTTCCAGCGTAACCTTTTTTATTGGGTTTGCAGTCCTGTTACGTTTATTTTAATTTTTGTATAATATAAAGTTTAATATTTCCTTTATTTCTAGATTATGCTACATTGTCTTGGTATCTGTACTTTCTGGCCAAAATGTGCTCAACGGGCAGTTTTATGACACTGTATTTCTTCACCTCCGAAATCTTTCCCACCAGCTGCCGCAACAGTATGCTTTCCTTCTGTTCCATGGTGGGTCGTTTTGGCTCCATGCTGGCGCCACAAACTCCGCTCTTGGTGGGTGTGACAATTGCTCGGCTGATGCATTATTAATATGACATGTTTCTTTTTAGATATACTATTACAAATATGCGCCGCATTTGCTGTTCGCCGCATTTGGCATTCTCAGTTCGGTGTTGAGCTTCTTTTTCCCTGAAACTTCCAATAAAGTGCTGCCCACGACATTGGAGGAGGCTCGCGCCCTGGACAGAAGTCAACAGCCAAAAGTTTCGGCAGCTACAAAAACTGCTGTCTAATCAGTTGAAAATAGCAACGTCTGGGTCTGGGGTATATTTGGGTTCAATTAGTTGCTGTAAATATTTGTCTATCAGATTGTCGCGTTGAATGACATGCAAAAATATTGAATTGTGTATAGAGTGTCGAATACTTGGAACTGTTCGGCTCGTGTTTGTTGTAATAAGATAATGCCTGCACTTGACGCCAGTCGAAATTGGCGACAAATCTTTTCAATTACTTGCTAATCTTATCATTTCAAATTGGATTGTCGATCAACAAATTATTCATTATACAAAATGGCAGTCAAATTAGGCAATAAAACGAGCAGCGACTATTTCATTAATAAACTGTTTATTATTGATTTCCAATAAATATTTTATTGATTTTATCCATTCATTCATCAATGCCAATCTAGACTTATCTTTATGCGCCACTATATATCATTGAAAAATTCCAAAATTTTATCAAACTATTCAGAGTATAAGATATATGTACTACAGCTAGTAAACTAGTATTACGCAGTATATATGATTTATTTACTAATGTTTATTTCTATGCATGTATAAAACTATGTCCGGACTTACTGAATGATTTTTGATCAACGTTCTAATCGTAAGAACCAAGAAGCAATTTTAAATACAGTTAACTTTCATAATGAAAGTGCACGAAAATCCTACAGAAATTTTGAAAAAATTGCAAAAAACGGTTGAAACTTTTTTGTTTAACATCATATCGTTCGAAAAATTCTTTTCCAAAGTGATGTGTTTCACACTTTTCGCAAAATTCACGGCTCCTTGGTGGAAATGGATTTTTCGGATTTGGTGTGTAAGATTTCGGGCACAAATTTAAATATAAGGATCTTTGTGTAAATTCATTTGAGACATATTTCACACTTTTCGCACAATTATGGGAACTTAATGAAACTTATGAAACTCCTTTGTGGGTAGATTTGAAATTTCTTCGGGCGGGATGCCCGATTTGTGCTTAAAATTTCTTCATTAATTGGATAACCGCAAATTTTAAATACCTATGTTCATATGTAGCTTCTTATAATCCTGAATAGGCACTAAGTTCAATTAGCTCAGGTAAGCCAAAATGCTGAATGACCCATTCAGAATTGTGGCCAGAGCAATACAGAATACAGACAGCAGCAGCTGCTTGTGCCAGACATTATGTCGGGGGGCGCCCACTGATAAGGGCCAATAAACGGCGATAATAACGTTGTAAATTGACATTATATTGTATATCAATCAATAATCATGCGTTGAAGCCATTTAGGGTTTTCGGTGCAGACGGCAAATGCGGTGAGCCAACAAAATCAGCTACGAAATTAAGCAACTAGCTGATAAGGCCAAGATAAGAGCAGACGCGAGAGGGGCACAGAGAGCAGAGGATTGAAGCCACGTAGTAAACATGAGGGAGAGCGTATCTCGTATCTAAAGCAGGCACGCCGTCAAGTGTCGTAATCAGGCAAGAGCGAACCAAAACAGAACAAAAACAAAATAACGAACGAAAGAGAGAAGAAAGACAAATAAAAATCGAAAAAGAAGGGCTATCCTCGGCAGGCCGAAGATTTAATACCCTTCCACACCCAAACTTTTCATAATGTTCATATGCTCATGATTAATGCCGAGTATGGTTAAGATATCTTGAAAAACAAAAAGTTGTTCATACAAGAACTTCACTTACGACCGATGGTTCAATGATTTTGCATATACATATATGAGACGCATAGTAAAAATAATAAATACCTAATATCTTGATAAATAATAAAGTTTTTCATACAAGAACCTACTTTTCGACCGATCGTTCCTATGGTAGCTTATATGACATAGTTGGCCGATCCGGCCGGTTCCGCCATATGTACTGCGTGCGACAAAAACAGGGACTTCTGAAAAAGTTTCATGACGATAGCTTTAAAACTGAGAGACGATACTGATCACGAATATATATACTTTATGGGGTCGGAGATGTCTCCTTTTATGCGTTACGCATTTCATTACAAAATTATAACACCCTCTGCAAGTGTACAATGATTCATTCAATGTAGACCGCATAACAAATAATCTTGTAGAACATAATTAGCTTATTAATACAGCTTCAGATAAAACTGGGAAACTTATTTAATTTTTGTAAAATATTATTTACATAAGCCCGGTTTTATCAGTGATCATGCGGAGTTTCGAAAAGATATTTATCACAGCGAATATATTAGATTTTTTATCGTTGCTCTTAAAGAATTCAGAGAGATTCAAATGGGATATAAAATAAAAAATATATTATTCTATATGTGTCTAATTTATATTATCATGATTAAATTTATGTCAAATGTTATTTTTTTTAATATGTTCCCATATTTATTCTTAAAAAAAGAGAATTAATAAAAATATAGGGTATACATAGAATGTTTGAAATTTATAAAAAATTTTTTTTAAAATTTTTGTCAAAAGTTTTTTATATGATCTCTGTCCAATCATTGTTTATAAAGAGTTTTGGAAAGATAGCACAAATTGTTGTTTTCAAGATTACTGTAGAATCTCGTTTTGTAAAAGATTTTCATAAATTGAAAGACGATTGTTATCACAGGTTGGAAATCCATTTGAATTGATTTGGCTAAATAGAGGTTGATGCGAAGGAATCAGTCAATGAGCGGCACTGCTCGCGGTCGGACGCTCCGTGACGGAGACGTAAAAAAAAGCTTATTAAAAACTATTCGAATTTCTATACTTATTTGGGCTATAAAAAGCTCACGTATTTTTAAGGCATATTTATAAATCGCGCGTCGGATAAAAAGTGCAGTTGAACACGCGGATATGTTGAAATAAAAAATAAATTAAAGTACAAAATAAAGGAACAGAAATATTTACTGAAAATCAGTTTGTCATATAATAGTCGGGCACATGTCTGGCGAAAAGAGGAGTGGCGCCGCCTCCGCTGGCAACGACAGCCCGAGAAGAAGCAATGGCCATGCGATTGGAACTGCGACTGAGGCTGAGCATGTGGAGGCAGCCGCTGGTGAAGATAACTCGCTGGATGCCATTTTGGTGCGAATCGGGCAGTTCGGACGATTTCAGATAATCAATTATGTGTTATTATGTGTGCCCATGGTGTTCAATGCCTTCTTTTCGATCTCATATGTGTTTACCGCCAGCTCAGTGGTGCACAGGTATGTTCCATCTCCCTCTCTCTCGCTCCGTGTCTCTTTCGACTGTTTAATTACCAAATCCAAACACGATTTAGATGCAATATAACGCAATGTGACAGTCCGGCCAGTTTGTACGAGGAATCCTGGCTGAATTTTACAGTGCCCTATAAGAACTCCGCTTGGGATTCGTGTAATCGTTACGTGAACATATCGGAATCGAAGTCTAGTAGTGTATTTAGCGATCCCTCGAGCGATGTGTGTGCCGCTGAGTATTTTGGCAATTCAACCGAAAGCTGCGGCACAGATTTTAAATTTCGAGACGAAGAGAAAACCATATCGACTGAGGTAAATATTTTACATAAATTCTTATACTTATTATTTTTAAAAAGGTATCGATTAATCTATTGGGATTTGTTTATGCTTTGGTTTTGAAACTCTTGCAGAGTATATTATAATGATTAATTATATTCTAGATCAGCATCAACAGTCGAGTTGATGAAGCCATGTCCGCCTGTCCGTCTGTCTGTTTCTATACGAACTAGTCTCTCAGCTTTATAAAGGCTATAGTCTTGGATCTTTGCATAGAACATAGAATAGTGCAGTACATAGGTGAGAACTGGTCGGATCGAATGACTATATCATATAGCTGCCGTACGAATGATCAGTCGAAAGGTAGGCTCTTTTTTGTTTATCAAAATATCTAGACCAAGCTCGGCATTTATTTACTGGTTTAATTATGCTGTTTATATTTGAGTAAAATTCTATCAAGATCGCAGTACTTTATAATCTAGCTCTATTGGTAGGGTCGGTCGAAAAATGAGTTTTTGAATGGCAATATATTTTGTATTTCAAGAAAGTTTCACCAAGCTCACCATTTACGAGCAACACTATTCTCATGCAAAGCCGTAAGGCAAATGTTTGCAAGGGTATTAAGTCTTCGGCGTGCTTGCTAATTTATTCAAGCTTTCTTATGAAATAGTGAGTGTAAGAAGAAATAAACATTTAAGTTGCAAAATAATTTAACTTAGTTTTTTGATCGTTGAAATATGTTTTTAAAATATTGAAAGCTGTGTTGACTGGAATCGAAAAAAACTAAAAAAAAAAAAAGTGTTCAAAGATAATCGACTAAAATGACTTACAGTTCTGAAGTTTTTGTATAGTTGTTGAATTTCCAGGAATTGTCTATGACTAATTGAACAAACGGCTTTTAACATTATAAACAAATTCCACACATTTCTGCGAATTTGAAAATTACAATATGCGGTTGTTTTTTTTCTTTTCAATTTAAATAAACGTGCTTTGCATGCGACTGACTCGTTTATAATTTTTTCTTATAGCAAAATTAAATGTAACTTAAATAAAATACCGTTCTTTATTTATCTATTTATTTTTATGTTTTCTTTATCTTGGTTTTAAATGATTTAAGTTTGGCATCTTTTGCAAAGACGAATGGAAACTGTCCTTGGTGGGCACCATAAACAACGTGGGCCAGTTTGTGGGCATACCTTTGGGTGGCTACTTTGCAGATCGGTAAGTGGTCGCACTTTTCAATCCTTTATTGAATACTAAATCGAACTATATTTTATCTAGTTATGGTCGTCGCAACATGTTGGCAATTGCGGGAGCTTTGAGCGCTCTCATGGGCATTATACGTTCACTGTCCAGCAATTATTATATGTTTCTGAGCTTCGAGTTCCTCGACATGGTTGTGGGCAGCACCCTGTTTCCCACGGCCTTCCTGCTGGCCATCGAGCTGGTGGGTCCGAAGCGTCGTGTAGCCGCTGCCACCATTATCACCATTTTCTATGCGATAGGAGAGGCGTGCCTGGGCATTTTGGCATCACATGTGCAGAACTGGCGCTGGCTACTGCGTTGGCTCTATGCGCCAGCTATACTGCAGATACTATTTCTCTGGATTCTGCCCGAGAGCGTGCGCTGGCTGCTCAGCCAGGGCGAGGAGAAGCGAGCGGCTGAAGTGTTGAGGCGTGCGGCCCGAATCAATCGGCGACCATTGCCGGAGGAGCAGGTGGATGAGCTGCTAGCCAACAATCGACAAAAACTGCATCAGGCCAACGAAAGCCCGTATCCGATCAGGCAGGCCGCTCGCTTTTTCATTTGGCGCATTGCCAACTGTTGCTTCTGCTGGTTCACGCACACGCTGATTGCCCTGGGACTGAGCTTGAACTCGGTCAATCTGGGTGGCAGCAAATATAACAATTTCATGCTAAATGGCTTTGTGCAAATTCCCGGCCTACTGCTGCCACTCATCATAATGGATCGCATTGGCAGAAGGTACTCGCTATGCGCCTCCATGCTGCTCTGCGCCATTTGTATGGGCGCCTCGGCTGCTGTCGGTTCAGGTAAGCCTCTTTATATTCAAATAAAAGCAAACTATCTTATTTTATGTTTAACAAGATGTATGCCTTGATAGGCCTAAGCCCCTTAAGCTCGGCACTTGCCAAAGACACGGTTGAAATTGCAAAAAAAAAGCATTCAAAAGAACATTTGCATTTATGACAGTTAAACGTTCAACACTTCCATTAATTTTCCGTTTCTTTGAGGTATTTCTTAATACATTATTATTCCTTTTTTTTTGTGAATAACAAGAAGAACAATTTTAATTTGAGCCGGCGACCTCTCGCTTGCTTGACCGACGCTTAGATACCTGAGCATTTGATATTTTATCTACAAAACCTGACCCACTTTTTTTTGACCAACTTTGGAGATCAAATTATCCAATCGGTCAGGACAAACTCTTTTATAAAAAGAAAGGAAAGTGTATTCTCTTTTATAAATCTTCAAATTTGTTGTTTTTCTTTCAGATGATTATGCTGGTTCCCTGACGTTGTTCCTTATTGGGAAGTTGGCTATTACGTGTAGTTTTCAGATCCTGTACTTTTTTACCTCGGAAATCTTTCCCACCAATGTGCGAAATAGTTTGCTCTCCGTTTGCTCCATGGTTGGCCGCATTGGCTCTATGCTGGCGCCGCAAACCCCATTGCTGGTAAGTACCAGGGCACAGTCTACGTATTGCACAGCTAACACTTGTTCTCTTTAGGCCAAATACTATGAGCATGCGCCTTCAATATTATTTGCCACCTTTGCTTTGGTCAGCGGCTTTCTGACGCTTGGTTTTCCCGAGACGGCAGACAAAGTACTGCCCACAACGATGGAGGATGCCCGCGACTTGGATACCGCACGCCAAATACGCACGGATGAGAATGAGGAGGAGCAGGAGGCGCCTAGAAGATTGTGTTGATCAATTTGTACTTTAACGAACTGCACGGTTCGCATGTTTGCTAGCAATTTTGCGATTGCCAAAGATTTTATTTTGTCCAAGCCGAATGCATTTGTTGTTGAGTTTTAATACGTTTCTACTGTTCCTAGTATTAAGTGAAAGTGTCGATTATTTTTGTATAGTATTTTTTTATTGAATATAAAACTAAATGTATATTAATTAAAATTAGCCCGTTCACTCTTTGTGCGAGCAACTAGAAGAAACAAATACTGTACACGTTCTTATTTATGTATAAGGAGGCTCTTTTTAAATGTAATTAAACTACCTTAACAATTAATTATAAGCACAGGACTAAGCTCATGTATTTGAATCCCAACTCATGTTTCTAGGTAGTGTACATTTTATATAGTTTTATACTACGAAACAGTTGTATGAATAGAGCATTAAGATCGTAAATAAGAAAATCAGAGCAAGAAGAAGAGCCAGCAGTACAAATTGAGTGGGTCAGGGAGCTGCGATGTTAGTTGGACTTGCAGCTCGGATCAGAGAGGTTGCCATGGTGAGCAGAACAATATATTTTATGTACATGGCTTAATATTTTATTATATATATATATATATATTTAAAATAATAAGACGATTCTCATTATTTGACTTTATATGTATTTTATATTTTATATTTTTTATTTTCTGCAAGCAGCAAGCAATATCGATATCAAGTCGAAAAGAGCCAACCGAAATTTAAAGTGGCGCCATCTGTTGCAATGCAAAGTAGTTAGCCGCTTAGCTGTGTGTCAAACCTTTTCGGCTTTGCCTAATGTGTGCTACAATTTGTGCATGGCTATCTTATACTATCTTATACTACAACCTATTTTTCATTGTCATTTTTTTTCAAAATTTTCACAAATTTTGGATTTTCCAAACGAAATCAAAAAATGTGGTATGCAAGTCGATTTCAGAGAGCAGTACGAGTTCAAAAAGGTATGACTTTCCAAAATCGGACCATTTTTAGCCGAAATATCGGAAAAAAACGAAACGAAAAACGAAAATTATAACGGCATTTTTTCACGTTTTTGAAATCGCTGTATCTCGGCCAATTAAGCCCCGATCTTGGAAAGATTGGTCTCGTTCGACTCGTGATCACAGCCATTTTCAGCCAACATCGTTATTTTTGCAAAAAACATAGTATTTTTTCTCAAATTGGGCCATTTCTTAGAATTCCGATTTTTTGGTGTCAGTCGATAGTCGGAATCCGTACGAGAAGAAAGAGGTATTATTTCGAAATCGGACATATGGTACCCGAGAAATTTCAATTTTAATTTTAATTTCAACGTATTATGTAGACAGCACGAAAGTATGCAGTACTAAATACTAAAATTCTGCTAAAAACCGCTACAAACTGCTATAAATGGCTATAAAGCCCCTGGTGTTTTGGCTGATTTTAAGAAAAATATCGGCAGCCAGCCGTTAGTTTTTGATGCCGCAACCTTTTTTTGGTTTTTTTTTTGCAGCTTTGCAGGACTGCTAGCTGCTAGCAGGACAATTAAAAAAGTTGCCTACTAATAAAATTAGGCATTACATTTTATTGTTGCTCAACTTGTGATAGATATATATATCGTATGGCAACCGACAAAATGCTGAAAGGCAAACTTCACGTTCTACTAGATACTCTTTAAACAATTAAAACAGTAGGTTTGCTGTTGCCTTGTATTAGACGTGTAATTCCAAGACATATCATGATCGTAATAATCGTAATAATCAGTGCAACAGATCAACCCTTATGACAGCTTGTAAGAAGTCTTACATAAAACTGATGGCTGGGTAAAAGGGTCACCTGTGGACTCAAATGTAATCTCAGTCCGTAAGGTTTGTTTCTAATTGTTGTACTTCCATTATCTCCTCAAGTTCCTTTTACTACTGTGAGTTCCTTTAATTGGTTTCAAAGAACATGTTATATTTTAAAGGACTTTGAAATTTCTTAAATAATAACAACTCTCAAGCTGCATACAAAGAAGAAAGCTAAAAACGGTTCAAAAGTTTGCAAATAATCAATTATCTGTAATGTTTTTTATACCATGCACTTTCAATGTTATGCCTCAATAAAATTTCCAATCAGTAAAATATAATAAGTATAAATAAATCGAAGCACTCCAACGTAAAGAAAGTCTCTAACACGCGAGGCCGTACTTGAATTTTCAACTATAGGAGCTAGCTTATTTCATTGATAGCTCTCAAGTAGTGGGCAACTACTTCCGTTAAGCATTGAGATACTTGAGAAGGCTCTGATACTGGTTGGGCTTACATAATTAATATATATAGAGCTGCAATCGTCCAACCACATTAAAGATTATGAGTTATTTGCGTGCATTTACAAGAAATCGGCGAATTCACAAAGCCATATTGATAAGCGGAACACACCTAGAATGCAACACATCGAATGCTATTGAATATGGCAAATATTTAAAAAAAGATATTTGAAATTTGTAAAAGCCACCATTAATGGCCATATTTGATGAGAGTGACATGCTCATGCGCCAAGAGATCTTTGTGCCATGGTGGGCCTTATCGGAAGCGTCTTGTTGACATGCTGTCAACTTACGCACTCCGATGATATCGCCGATTCGTAACCTTAACTTATCTGCCTCATCAATAATGGGGCGAGAGTGCATTGCGATTCAGTTGGGAAACGTGCCTGGTCGCCTATAGACATGAGTGCGGACTACGAGAGTGACTATTTTGTGCGCAGTCGGTTAGTTGTTCTGGCCAAAAGAAGAGGCTAAACGAACAAATTTAATTACTAATTAATTACACACACGACTATATTACCCCTAGGAAAGTGCGCGATAAGCCGCCGCTGTGGGACTCATTTCAAGATCCGCCAGCGAAGCGGACAAGTGGCTCCGATGCCTACTGGAAGAAGTTGCAATTTTTCCTGAAACTTTTCAAGCTGTTCACCTATCTCCTGGTGTTTGCAGTGGTCTTGGCCTCTAGCGTGGCAGCCAATCTGATTTATTTGTATATGGCTGGCAACACAAATGGCGACACAAAGGTTCGAGTGTGCAGCAAATACCGTAAGTCAAGGACAGGACAAGCTATGCTCTCTGGTTTAAGTTTAATAAGCTGCCCCCTGACCCCTCGTCCCCCCCGCTTTATGCAGTTCTACTCGATGGCCAGGTGACGGCAGTGCGCAGCAAACTGGAACAAATTGCCTGGGTGTGGGCCCTGATCTTTGCCTTTGCCGCACCCGAGCTGTTCACCTTTCTGCGCTCCCTGCGCATCACCATGTTCAAGCGTGAGCAGCGGCCCAGCGGACTGGAAGTGACGCTGGTGAGTAATGTGCTAGTAGTATTTATTGTGCTTCCATGATTGATAAGGTCACACTGCCGTTGTCGCTAATCAGGTCACACTCTTTGAGCTACTGCACGTCGTTGGCCTGGCGCTGCTCACCTTCACCGTGCTGCCCCAGCTGGATGTGACGCGTGCTGCAATGCTGGGCTGCTGTGTCTGCTTCGTGCCGGCGCTCCTCAGTGAGTAACACACTAGAATCTGGCATCTGGCATCTGGCATCTAGAATCTCTGTCATCTTATCAGCCTCTTTGTCGGCCAGACTGACAGCAATTAAATTGATTGCCATTCCGTTCCGCTTAACACTATATGTTATACATATATATATATTTTTTTCTTCCCAGACCTGTTGACTGGCACACGTTTGCATTGGAAATCTGCGGATATGTTTGTATACGGCACCTCCATACTGGCGATAATATCACAGGGCAGCGTCTTTCTCATTTGGCCAGCCATGTCCACGCAGCTGGAGGTGCAGCTGCTGGCAATACCTTTGCTATTGGTCTCATTCCGCTGGTGGGAGAACTTTGCCAATACGCACGAGGCGATAGGTGAGTGAACTGAATGAATCACAGTTCTAATAGACAATACGCGGCACAGTGGTACACACTTTGTACGTTTTTATAGACATCACATTTCAAGATAATAACTAAACAATTAAGCTATATAAATAAGAGAGCGGGAGCTACGAGACTGATACTTTTACTGAAGCTTTCTTGTGATTCAAAATGGGGGTATAATTTAACCAAAGTGGGGCTTAGGAATATACGACCTGTGTAAAAAACATCAACAACCAAGAAAAATTTCAACAACCAACAGCAAAACAACCAATAAGTGTATTTTGAGCGTCCCACCAACAAGCGGAAAGATTGCTGGTTCAAATTACGCAGCGATTCGCGATTTCTGTTGATTCTGTTTATTTACTTTGTTAATATTTACATTGAAAAAATCAACAAGTAAGCGAGCTTTCGGTTATTATAATTTGTATATTTTTCCAGAACTGAGTTATTCACAATTTTGTCCACTCTGCCATTAATAAGCGTAAACGATATAGTTTCCAGATATACCACGCCCCCGTGGGTAAAAGAGCTGGCAAGCTGTTTGGCTAGGAGCAGTAAGATGAATTTATTTGCCTCGAACTTTACTATTTACTTGAAAAATATGTCTGAGCTAATTGTCAAACTAATTTATTAATACCAATTTGTGCAGTAACTCTTGCCACAATTTATCCTCATGATAAATTTAGCTGCGTCGAACTTTACAATGTACATGGAAAAACGTGCCTGAGCTAATTTTCAAGCCAATTTGTTTTTCGGTTATAGAATATACAATTTTGACTATATATTTACTGTATATAGTTGTTAACATTATTCAAGTTAACTAATATCCTAACTATTATTCCATTAATTTACTCTCTAGCCTATATAATACGCAATATACGCTGCACTCGGTCCCGCTACCACACGTACCTTTATCTGGCACCTCTTAAAATTGTCGTCTTTGGCTTGATGGGTTTTCTGTTGCACGGCGAGAACTTGATCGAGTACTTTACGCTGTTTCACAAGGCCTGGCAATCGCATTCCATAACCCTAACGGTAAGTGATGCTCATTAGATGGAAATGTGTTGACTTTTGACTCCCACCGATGACACCGACTCCAGCACACGGATGGCTTGCTGGATACGGTAAATTTGGCACACACGACCAATGCCTCATTTAGCAGGCCCGCAACACTGGGACAGTATACGCTACAATCGAGCAACAGAGCCGTTGTCTACGCACTGCTGCTGCAGGTGGGCGCTGCCTACTTGTGCCACATTTTCGGCAAGTTCGCGTGCAAGATTAAGATACAGCATTTTAGCTATGCGCTGCCGCTCAACCTGGCTGCGCCAGTGACCGTTTGTGTGGCCACAGTGCTGGCGCA